TATTTCAGTAAGACGTTGCAGGTGTGTTTTATGTGTGAAGAGTTCACAGCGCTTTGAGCTTCAGCGTGGAAAGTTCATGACACCAGTTCGAAAGAGAAAAAATCCGAGAGAGAGAGAGAGAGAGAGAGAGTTACTTTAGAGTCTACGTGATTTTATATCCGAGATCCACTACTGATATGAATTTTATTTTAGAGATGCTACAGCTGCTATGTTTAATGTCACTAAAATAAGTATAGGATGTTCTCGGACCTGGTTTCGAAGATTGTGTTGAATCTTCACGACATGTAAGTGACTCTGTAAACGCCGGTTCTCGTTTGAACACCGCGGTTTGTATTTAGATGGCGGTTGGAGGCGGCAACGGGTACTGAAAACAAACCCTTACACCCGGAAATATGAATGTTGTCAAGAGGGAACAGAGATGGCTTTTACAGAAGCCTGCTGAGACTACCACGGATGGAGCATGTGAGCAACGAGGAGGTTTTGCCGAAAATGGAAACAAAATAAAATAGTCATACACTTAGAAGCAGGAAGAGATCGTTGACATTTCTAGAACACATGACGAGGAAAGAGTGTTTGGAGAATTTGACGCACATATGACATTCTAAAAAGAAGAACAAGAAGAAGGAAAAGAAGAAGAGGAAGAAAAAAGAAGAAAAGAAGAAATATATTGAGAAGAAATGAAGAGGAAAAAAGATATTGCGTTGGCCAAAAAGTTCCTTAAGTAGAAAATTTACCTAATAAGCCTAACAAACTATTTGGCCAACCCAATATATATTAACAAAGAAAGAAGAAAAGGCAGAATAAGACAAAGTAGAACAAACAAAGAAAGAGAGAAAGACAGAAAGAAAGAAGGGAAAAATTAAGGGAAAAATTATGAGAAAGATATATATATATATATTTAGTTTATGAAAAACTAGGTAATCCGTATGGGTAAACCTAAGGAGGATAAAATCCAGAGAGCTCAATGTAAATCCAGAGCAAATAATTTAAATGTGTCAATGTCTGCTAACTCATTAATGTCTTCTCTCTCTCTCCCCCATCACTTCCTCACTTCGTTAATTTACATATGTTTAATACGGCCCGTCAAAAATGTGTAAATCTTTTCATTTTTTGTTTGGAAGTAAAGTCTGATGATCCGCAGTTCTTTAAAAGGGCTGTGGTGAAATAATTTATTTATTACATGGAACCCTAAAGTGGACTGTTTTATATATATATATATATATATATATATATATATATATATATATATATATATATATATATATATATATTTACGGGGGCTAATGATAGCGGATCGGATTAAAGAATCGGATAACCGTGGTTCGAATTACAATCGAATTCATTACATTCACTTACGTGCTAAGCTAATCCCCAACTATGGGTTCAATAGCCCTGGGCGGCAACTGATCTAGGAGAAGGACAAATCTGAATTCAAAGCCAGATCCTCCTGGTTGGGATTGTGCAGTAGGCTAACAACCTACTTGTTTAAAACTGGCTTGTTACAGAAACGACAACGATATCTTCCGGCCCCTATGTTCCTCAAAGAATTTAAAGCTATATATATATATATATATATATATATATATATATATATATATATATATATAGTTTATGAAAAACTAGGTAATCCGTATGGGTAAACCCAAGGAGGATAAAAAATCCAGAGAGCTCAATGTAAATCCAGAGCAATAATTTAAATAAAAAACAGACCACTTTAAGGTTCCATGTAATAAATTATTTCACCACAGCCCTTTTTTAAAGGACTGCGGATCATCAGACTTTTACTTAAAGTAATCCCTAAAGTGGTCTGTTTTTTTATTTATATATATATATATATATATATATATATATATATATATATATATATAAAAAGCAAAAAAAAGAAATATTTCTTTCCTTTCTTTTTTTATTTTTATCTTTAGTAATATATAACTTCTCTCTTTCTCTTTCCATTTAAGAAGATGAAAGAAAGAAAATATTGAGGGAGAAGTAACGAAAAAGAGAGAAAATAGATAATACAAATATGTGCGATATCAGCAACGTGAAGAAGTTTATTTTCATATTACAGTTGTGAAACTGGCTTTTATAATCATTAACAACTGTGATTCAGTAGAAAATTGAAATAGAAAAACTTCTGACGTAAATCGTAAACTTCAATATTTCTACTTTAATCAAGAAAATATTAAAGCGTTTATTCTATATTCAGCATACTCATTTGATTAGACACCAGAACTGTTGAAACAAAATGGCTATTTTTGTAGTGATTTTATAACATATTTATGTTAGAATTATCGAATAAATAATTGTATTTGCTCTAGTCAGTATTGAGCACTCTTTTTAAGAATAGTATTTGTGGGTTATTGGAATTTATTCCGTATACAGCAATCCTATACTTATATATATATATATATATATATATATATATATATATATATATATATATATATATATAATATATAAAATTTCAAGTGAGCAGTGACCACCACTGCTAGTTTCATAC